TTGACTTTATTTGTTTTACCTGTTGTTAGTGTTAATGTAATGATAGGAGCAGATTGGCTTGAGACATTAGGTCCGCATGTGGCGGACTACAGTACTTCTACTGTAAAATTTGTTCAGAATGGGCAATTTGTGACTCTTAAAGGTGTGCGAGGCTCCTCAGTAGCTCAAGCACAATTTCACCATTTGGTGAGAATTCAACACACTAATGCTGTGGCGGAGTATTATATGATTGAGAAGCTGGATTATTATAGAGAATCTGAAAATTTTAGAAGAAATTGCACCTGACATGGCTACATTATTACAGAGATATCGCTCTATATTTTCCCAACCTCATGGTTTGCCTCCCCGACGAGAATGTGAACATAGGATTGAGTTGCAACCTGGGACGGGACCTATTAGAGTGAGACCATACAGATATCCATATAGTCAGAAAATAGAGATAGAGAAAATGATCTCTGAATTGCTCTCAGATGGATTGATACAACAGAGCACGAGCCCTTTTTCAGCACCAGTGATTCTTGTGAAAAAGAAAGACGGCATATGGCAATTTTGCATTGATTATCAGGCGTTGAATGCAGTCACAGTGAAAGACTCGTTTCCCATGCCGACTGTCGATGAGCTTTTAGATGAACTTCATGGCTTTGTTTTTTATTCAAAGCTCGACCTCCATTATGGCTACCATCAGATCTTGATGAAAGAGATAGATAGAGAGAAAATTGCATTCAGAACACATCAAAGGCTTTATGAATGGTTGGTGATGCCCTTCATATTAACAAATGCACCGGCTACTTTCCAATCGCTAATGAACTCAATTTTCCGACCATTTCTCCGGCGGTTTATCCTGATTTTTTTTGATGATATACTAATCTACAGTGCCAGATGGGATCTCCATTTATAGCATGTGAAAATTGTTTTAAGCATACTGGAACGACATCAATTATATGCCAAAATGACTAAGTGTGCTTTCGGCCAGTCCCAGATAGAATATTTGGGCCATGTCATCTCAGCTCAAGGGGTAGCGATGGATAACACAAAGGTGAAGGTCATTCAATTATGGTCGAGCCCAATAAATGTCACACAGCTTAAAGGATTCTTAGGCTTGAGTGGGTATTATCGAAGGTTTATAAAAAAATTATGCCCAAGTTGCTGGCCAACTTACAAAACTCCTGGCCAAAGATCAATTCATATGGACTTCAGAGGCCCAAGAGGCTTTCGATAATCTAAAAAAGGCAATGACTGAAGCGCCAGTACTCACGTTGTCGGATTTCACTAAACCATTTGTGTTAGAAACGGATGCGTCTGGAGTAGGAATTGTAGCAATTCTGAGCCAAGACAACCATCCGATTTATTTTTACTCAAAATAACTCTCACCCATAATGCAGGCTAAATCTGTATATGCTCGAGAGTTGTATGCCATTACTGAGGCAGTTTCAAAATTTCAACATTATTTGTTTGGAAACCAATTCACAATCAGGACAGACCATGCTAGCCTAAAGCATTTGTTAGATCAGAAGATTCAGACCCCAGAACAAGAGGCATGTTTTCAAAAATTATTGGGGTATCAATTTAATATTGAATACTGGCCTGGGAAGCACAATCAAGCTGTCGATGCTCTTTCACGGACTATGATTATGGCTTTAACACAGATAGAAAATGTATTCATGGAGGAAGTCTATAACAAGGTGCGAGAATCTCCTCTGATTTTTGATCTTAAAAACAAAGTGCTAAGTGACCCACAGTCTATGCCAAAATATCAGATAAGGCAGCAAGATTTATATTAGGGGAATCACCTGGTCATACCTCACGATTAGCCAGATTTGATTCATAAGATCTTACATGAGTTTCATTCTTCAATAATAGGTGGACATACAGGGTTCCTCCGTACTTTTCATCACATTACTCGACTTTTCTTCTGGGCTCATATGCGACGAGATATAAGAAACTTTGTTCAACATTGTGTTGTATGCCAACAAGCAAAATTGTCTCAGCTTCATCTTGCTGGATTATTGAATCCGTTGCCCATTCTTAATCACATTTGGGAAGGTATAGCCATGGATTTTATCACCGGCTTGCCACCAGTTAAGGGTTTTTCTGTTATTCTTGTGGTTATTGACCGATTATCCAAATATGGCCATTTCATTCCACTGCCAAGCACTTCTCCAACCCCATTGTTGCTGAAGCTTTCCTCTAAAATGTGGTTAAACTACATGGAATGCTAAAAATGATTATCTCTGATAAGGACAAGACTTTTACCAGTGCCTTCTGGCGCCACTTAATGAAGTTACAGGGTACAAAGTTGTGTGTGAGTATAGCCTACCACCCTCAAATGGATGGTCAATCAAAAGCTTTGAACAAATGCCTTGAGATGTATTTACGGTGCTTCGTGCATGAATACCTACGTCGCTGGCTATAAGTTCTTCCTTAGGTAGAGTTTTGGTATAACACCGCCTTTCATATTGCTATCGGCATGATCCCATTTAAGGTGGTTTATGGGAGAGACCCACCTTCATTGATTCGCCACTCCTCACAAGAAGATACGCCTTGGGAAGTCCATCAGCAATTGGAGTTACATGATCAACTTTTAGTGGTGCTCAAACAAAATTTATTGAAGGCTCAAACATGAATGAAGCGATTTACAGACAGACATCGATCGGAAGTTTCTTTCCAAGTAGGCGACTTGGTTCTGGTCTGTCTTCAACCTTACCATCAACACTCTGTTGCACTAAGGAAATACTAAAAATTAGCCTTACAATATTTTGGCCCATTTTCAATCGTTGAGCGAATAGGGACAGTGGCATACAAACTTCTACTTCCAGATCATGCACGCATCCACCCTGTATTCCACGTTTCACTTTTGAAGAAATTTCACGGAGAAGAACCTTAGGGGTCTTACTTGCCATTACCCCTATCTACAGTTCCAGATGGTCCCCTGTTGCAGCCTATGGCAGTGGAAGACACACGACTAGTTCAACGGAATGGAAAATGGGTTTCCCAGGTTTGGATTCGTTAGAATGGGTCCACCAAAAATACTTGGGAGGATGCTGTCACCATGAGTCACTTGTATCCACACTTTGACCTTGGGGACAAGGTCCATTTTAGCGAGGCGGGAATTGTAATGAACCCAAATGATATAGATCCAAGTGGGAGCCCAACTATCACAACGGATAACCCAATTCTACAGCCCACATTGGATGCTAGAAGAAGGAGCCAGTGCACGAGGAAGAAAACGTGGAAATTGCGCGAGTTGGATGAAGAGGCTATATAACGACAAATACGGTTATGTGAGGGGGTGTGAAATGATTGGAATATCTCTCTTTCTCTCTGTGCTGAACCTTCTCTACGTTTCTGCTTTTGCTATACTTTTCTGCGTGCCTTTGCTGTCATTTTCTCATTATTCCTGCTGTAGTGCCTTTATCAATTTCTGAATTGTAATACGCTCCGTGAACGTTGGTTTTGTCAGTTTTTACTCCATTAATATTATAATATATCCTGAGCATTACATATATATATTCTGCATTAATCATCTGAGGATGTGGACGAGAGTGTGGGATCTGGAATTGCTACTCTATACAAGGCAAGAACAGATCTTAATATGTTGCTACAGAAGTAAATGGTTTCGCCATAAAGGAGGAGTAGTTTGCTTGGATGTAGACAGATCCTATAAGAATGGTGTTGGTAAGTGTGGCTATGTTATACGCGATAGTAATGCTAACTGGATCATTAGATTTAATGTGAATATTGGTAATTTTCCATCAACGATCACTGAGACAGTTGCAATCTTCCAAGGCCTTGCTCTGTGTTGGAACAAGAGCTTTAGAAGAATTTGAGTTTTCATAGATTGAGCTGAAGCTTTGAATCTTATTTCAAGACATGGGACTGATTTTCATCCTCTTAGTGACCTTTTTCAAGAATTCAAATCACTTTCATATAAGGATTGGTGTGCATATTTAGAATTCATACACAAGAAAGTTAATTTTTGTGTGCATTATATGGCTAGTAATGCCCCTGACAGGGTTGGTGATTTTAACACTTTTGATCAACCTCTACTTTACTATAGAAAAGTAGTGGATGGGGGAAGTTGTTGAGCTAAATCCAGCTTGTTCTATAATCTCACATTTGAGTAATGGATCATCTTTTCATAAGGAAAAAAAAAAGTGGCCCGAGCACAAGGAACCAAAATTACTTAGGTCCTCCTGAAATCAAACGAACCACATATTGGTACTTCAAGTCTTGAACTAAAAGCCCACAATAAGCCATAATTGGGCCTGAATATGGGACCTATACAATAAGCTACAATAACTAGAGGAAAACTGCACTCACGGGTCGTAACGGAAGAAGAGATCATAATAATGAAGATCAAAGTGAAGATTTTGTTGTAAATAAGGAGAATAATTCAAAAAGCCTAATCCCTAATATCCTCATGATAAATGTAGAATCATTTTCACAAGAATTTATCATTAAGATATGTTATTGCTATGTATCAAAAGATTTAAGACAATACAAAATTAAGGGAACGGCACATAAAATTAATTAAAAAGAACAATATATATTAGAACACAGAATTATGCTAACAAACTTTACAATTAAATCACGATGTAATAACAAAGCAGTTATCACTCTATCAACTTATCAAGCATGGATATGGAAGTATGAATAGAGAATGGCAGTGACATCGGCCAAAACATGGGAGGAATAAAAAAAATGGAAAAGAAACACGGAGAAACTGCAAGGGAAGGAAAATCTGCTTCTGTTTGAGGGGGTGTAGAGCGTTTCGCCGAGAATTAGATGCCTAAATATCCGTCATCTTTGCAACGACCAGCTCCATTTTTCTCTCTCCTCTCATATTTCTTCCCTATTCTACACTGTTTGCTAGTGAACAATCCCGTTAAGTTTATACACACACACACACACACACACCGTTTTGGTTTTGTTATTTTTATATATTAAAAAAATGGGTTTTCCTATTTATGGTCTCTTGCTAACATCCCCCTTTTGTACTGCTCCAATCAAGACGAACCCACATGTCTTCTCCCTCCTAATTCAGATTTTGCTCCTTCATTTCTCTCTCCTATTCTCTATTTTGCAAGTTCAAAGAAAATTGTTCAATGCAGAGGCCAAACGGGGGAAAATGTATCAGCTTATATGACTTAAAACCTAAAAAGTTATCAGGATTTTTGCAGTTTTCAGGTATATCTTGCAACGTCAAATTAAGCTTTGGTTCCTCTTGATGATCTGACGTCTATATATGGGAGAATGCTTCATCAAACACAAGGCTTCATTTTCTTATAGATTGCATATATTTGATCATCACAAGTTATTTAGGAGCATTATTCTTTTGATAGTTATATGGATTTATATTTGACGCATCATGCTGTGTGTCTGAATTGCTTCTTCTTCTTCTTCTTCTTCTTTGCCTCAAATATGTTTGCATTTAAACCTGTAGTTGTTTGATGTAATGTCTCAGACACTAATTTCCTATTATTTTCATGTTTATATGTGTTTAGTGCTTTTATAGGTCATCTGAATTAAAATCTCCTTCTGTGTTGTTTAAGATATTCCTCTTGAGGGGTGTGGCTGCCTTGTTCATTGATAGCGTTAAAACCTGCAAGAGGCCTCAGTCAATTGAGGTAATTGCTCTATGTTTGTTCATTTTTAAATTTTAATACACCCATACTTTTCAAAGACAATCTAGTGTGAAATCATTGTAGCCATGACAGAATTGTTGATATATTTGAGGTGCGCGTGCTTTGTTCTGATCAAAGAATCAGTATGGTTATTGGTACAGATGAACCACAATTTGTCACAAGAACCTCCCAAAACATATCATGTTGCTCATAGTAATGCCAATTTAGCAAATATTTCTCCTAGCGATCCCCAAATGGTAAATAAAGCAGGAAAAAATTCCAAATCAACTAAATATTCAAAAAGTAGTACATCTAAACCTGAGAAACTAGAAGGCAAGTTTGCTTCTGATCCTTCCACCTCACCAAGAAATGTGAAGACTAATAGTTATGGCTAAGGGAGTTGCAATAGCTCTCGTAGCAATAGTTTAGAGGGAACTTGTCCTCCTATTAAGCCACATACTGGTGGTGATGGGCGGTAGGACACAATTCAAATGACTTCGAAGGGCATCACTCTTAATCTTACCCATTTTCAGTTTCTTAAGCGTATTGGGTATGGAGACATTGGAAGTGTATATCTTGTGGAACTTAAAAGGATTAGGACCTACTTTGCCATGAAGGTAATGGATAAAGAATCTCTAGCTAGCAGAAACAAGTTACTAAGAGCACAAATGGAAAGGAAGATTCTTGGACTTCTTGATCACATATTCTTGCCTACTTTATACGCCTACTTCAAAACAGAGAAGTTATACTATTTGTTCATGGAGTTCTACAGTGGTGGTGATCTTCATTCTCTTCGACAAAAGCAACCTAACAAGCATTTTACTGAAGAAGCTGCTAGGTTAGTGACTTAATCAAATTTATTGATTTAACAGCTCCACTTGCACTTAAAATAGTTATATAGACAATCTTGAACATGTGTGTGTATGTGTGTGTGTGTATGCTGTGCTGACTTGTAATTGATTACCATCTACTATCAAATCATTGCATAAAGGGTATAGTGATTAATGGGTTCCATTGGATAAGAGCATTACATCAAATTGAGTTTTTATTGTAATATGAGGGTTTGTTGATTTTGGATTATGAGATTACCGAAGCTAGTTTGGCTGTAAACACGTTCAGAGAATGAAGATACAAGTTGATTAGTTATGTTTTTCACTTAAATATGCATGACTGAATAGGAATTAATATCTCTGTTGGTTTTCATACAAGGAAACATGTTTTTAAAGCATCTTTTTCCACTAGCAATGGTGAATTTTGATCTTTTTCTACTTTTAACATATATGGTAACAAGTTGTACTTAACTTACTCTCTGACCTCAACTTGTGCTATTATATTTCTTCGGCTAGGTTTTATGCTTTGAAGATTCTGTTAGCTCTAGAGTACCTCCATATGTTAGGCATTGTATATAGAGATTTGAAGCCAGAGAATGTCCTAGTTAGAGATGCAGGCCATATCATGTTGTCAGACTTCGATTTATCACTTCGTTGCTCAGTCAATCTAACACTTGTCAAATCTTCATCTACTCATCATGTGAGTAACAATAATGGTTATGGGGGCATGATAGAGGATGAATATGCAGTGCAGGGTTGTATTCAGCAACCAACTTTCTTCCCGCGAATTCTACCTTCAAAGAAGTCTCGCAAATCAAAATTTGAATTTGGTCCAGTTGGAGGTCCTCTTCCTGAATTGATGGCAGAGCCAACAAATGTAAAATCAATGTCATTTGTTGGGACACATGAATATCTTGCTCCTGAGATTATCCGAGGAGAGGGACATGGCAGTGCAGTGGACTGGTGGACATTTGGGATCTTTTTATATGAACTCTTGCATGGAACAACACCCTTCAAAGGTGCAGGAAATCGTGCTATGCTTTTCAATGTCATATGTCAGCCATTGAGATTTCCAGAAGCTCCTCATGTGAGTTCTGCAGCAAGAGAGCTTATAAAAGGGTTGTTAGTGAAAGAACCTAACAAGAGACTTGCCTATACTAGAGGAGCAACAGAGGTTAAACAACACTCTTTTTTTGAAGGAGTGAACTGGGCTCTAATAAGAAGTGCCTTGCCTCCACATGTACCAAATCTTGTAGATATTACTCAGTATGCTTCCAAAGAAGCACTAGTCCCAAAGGATAAGAGGATGATGGATATCTTAAAAGATCAAAACAAACATGGTGTTTATAACTCGTACATAGATTTTGAGTATTTTTAGCTGCAAATTTGGATTTGGAGTCATTGGAAAGAAGAAACAGTGTAGAACCAACCCAACATGAAATCACAAACTTTAGGAAAACAAATGTTGTATGCATAAACATGTATATTCATCCGTTTGAATCTCCTTTACTTTCAGCTTCCAATGTAACTTTTGATGGTTACGGGTTGAGTTTAGGCTATGGGATAAGTTTTTTGGAATATAAAGTTCTATAATCAATTGGTTGGTAACAGTGCTTTTTTCCTTGTATCTAAAGCTAGATTTCATGTTAAAAGGCTACCTTTACATCGGTTAGCAATGTCATGAAAAGATAGCGACACACAAATTAAAGCTAATTTTTCTGGCATACCCTCATTTGAATCACAAGCTAGCGTCACTTTTAAATGTTATCGTTGTTAAAGACTGCTTCAATCATAGGGTTTTCCCTACCTCCCTCAAGGGTGATGAGAATTGACATTAATAGTTCTGTTTGAAGAAACCTTGAAGTGGCTTGTGGATGAACAGTCTGAAATGACAAAGGAGAATGGATCCTAAGTTTCAAGAACTTAGGATCCTAACCCTCAACAGCTGCGGACATTCTTGCTATTAAGATTGCGCTAGAAGTTGGTAAGCTCTACAATTTCAAGAAAATTCAACTATGTACTGACTTACTAGAAGCCTTTAATTGTCTTTGGAGAGAGGATGGTCCTAACCATCCCTTGAGAATAGAGATTGCTGAAACTAGAGAGCTGCTCTTTCATGATTGGAAAATTGAGATTTTTCATTGTTCTCCGAAGGTTCTAAGATGTGCTAACAATATTGCCAAAATTGCGCATGATGGTCCTTTTGATATAGTTATCTTACCCATAGTCCCTACTTGTTGTGTGAGTCTGTTTTAGGATGATTTGCAACATTTGGTAGCTGTTTAGGTTTCTAGCCTTTCTTTTAGCGCTTTTCTGTAATTTTCCTTAAACTCTCAAGCTTTGCTTACTTCCTTATTCTAAAAAAAAAATAGCGTCGACGTAGTTACTAGTAAGATTCTTTCTTCAGAGTTTTTCTGTAATTAAAATGTATATTCTTGAGTTTATCAAGGATATAAAACGATGCATTCTTTGAATCTGAACATTGAACTACATCTATTTATTGAATTCATTAATAAATGAATATTAATTTTTTTTGGCCTGAAAGAATAAATATTAAATTAAGGGATGTATTCTTTAAATGGAAAAATGTGAGAGATACTATATTCATTGAGTTCATTGATGAATTATTTGTTAAAAAGGCGTCAAAAGGACTATAAATAGGCCCATTGAGTCCTTCATTGATCTTCAAGAAATTTAAAGATTATCAAAGATTTTCCACTTTTACTTTCAAGTTTCTCATATATTCTCATATTACTCTCAACAATTCTACAACTCTTTCTTCAATATATTCTTCAAAGAAATGCTTAATCGGCCATCAATCCAATAACATTGTACAGGGTTTGATTTACTCAAATAGAGTAATCACACGTCAAAGCCTACCATTTACTTATTTGCTTCCAATGAGGTACGCATCTTAATTGTTTTTGTTTTAAGAGCAATTTTATCTATCTCATTTAATAACCAGATTCGGCGGCGGCGGAGATAATTGTCATTTAAAAAAAGTTCTTTCTATGTTGAGTTAAGAGATACCTTATGATGCCAGAAAAAGAAATTCTTTTAAAATTTACATGTAAAAGATAATAATATAATACTTCCTTTATCTTAAATTATAAGATACTTTTAAATAAAATTTTATATATTAATAAGTCTCATTAAATACATTTAATAACTTTATCTTTTCAAAATAAAAATATAAACTTTTAAAAATATCCATCATTTTAATATATTAAAAAGAGAAAGAACATAAATTAATTATGAAGAGAGAAAGGGTAATATTAGAATTGAAACATTTAATGAAACCTTAATCTACCCAAAACATTTTATATTTTGTTATTAAATTTTTTTTAAAAATACCTTATAATTTGAGATGGAGATAATATAATATAATAACAGTTGAGGAGTAAACTTAATTTGATATAGTTGTGTAGTAATTCTGTGGCAAAACAAGAATGTATTCAAAATTCAAATCAACCTGTGGGTTTGGTGAAAACAATGTATGATGTACCCATGAAAGATTCTGGAGAAGTTATAATAAGCAATAATATATGGTTACGTTAGGTTACTAAAAAGAAATGGAATGAAATTGATTGAAAAAATTAATGCAAAAATAAATTAAATCATCCTTCCTTCTCATAGTAAATATGATAAAACTCATTAATATATATTACAAATGTGAGAATCATCATACCTTTCAAAAATTTCGTGAATCATTATTTCCAACCTCATGAACTAATTAATTACTCCCTTCTTTTATGAATGTGGTCTACTATTCTTTTTGATTATCTTATTTTTTATCCTTATTTTTTCAATTCATTCAATTTCATTTTTTTTCTAATAACCAAATGTGACCTATTGCTAAAAGATAAAAGATTATTTTTTAAAGTATACTTTTAGTCCTTTAATTTTATATAAGGTTTTAATTTAGTATTTTAATTCTGTAAAGTATCTTTTTAGTTTTTTAATCCTAACACCATTAGCTTCAAATGATTATTTTTTATGTCAATCATTATTAAACTTAATATGTCAACATTTAAAAATGTTTAATCAATATTTGAAAGTCCAATGTAAAAATTTATCGGGATAAAACTAACAGTATTTGGGTTAAAAAATTAAAAAAATGCTTTATCAAATTAAGTGATTAAAACAAAATGTTGTGTAAAGTTAAAAAATTAAATGTATTCTTTAACCAAAATTATTTGATTCCCTGAGAGTATGCACCAATTCATCATGTTTCAAAATTTTAAAAGTCTTATGTCCAGGATTAAGGAATATAAACCACAAAAAGACAAGCTTTTATCCTGAATAGCATGCATTACTCCTTCATTAAAAAATATAAAACATTTTTAACTAAATTTTACTCCCAATAAAATAATTACTTGTCGTCAAGCTAATACTATCTTTTTACATTTACTCTTATTTAATATGATATTTTATCCTATAATACATATAAAGTGATTTATTAAATAGGGATGTTTTAAAAAAAATAATTATACCTTAAAAAATTAAAAATAATTTGTATGTTCAAACGTGTAATCTCTCAAAAAATACCTAACATATGGAGTATTTATTTGAGATGGAAGTACAAGGAGATAATGCTTAATAAAAATTAAATTATCCAAAATGTAACTTTTTTTCTGACATCATTCATGGTTATTAAAAGTACAGCTTATTTTAAATAGTACACAATATACAATGTGTTAGCTAGGGGTGTTCAGTCTGGACCTGTCTCGATTGACCCGATATCATCCCAATCATATCAGAATGGGCCTTGTCCCGGCCCGAAAATAATCGGGACGGGACTTTATGGGACGGGACAGGAAAGGGGTTCGGGATGAGATGGGATAGGGGATTACCATCGGGACGTCTCGTCCCGTCCCAAATATTATATATATTATTTTTTATTTTAAAGATATTAATTATATTAATATAATTTATACTTATATTAATTATATCAATTATAATTTTAATACTTACAATTCTTATTTAAAACTAAAGTTTTTTTATATTGATAATTTTAATGGCATGGAGTAAACATAGCGATATCTTTCTTTATAATATATTAATTATATTAATATAATTTATTCTTATATCTATTTATTTAATAACTTTTATTTACAACATATTTCTTGCTTATTTTTAGAAGAATAATTAGCTTAGTATATCTTCACTAAAGTAGAAGAATAATGATTTGATATTGTATTTGACTTGCCTGTTGTTGCTAATCTTATAGCATAAAGATCACTTGTATTTGTTATTATAATGTGTAGTTGTGATTAATATAATTCAATAATTAATTTTAAATTATTATTATTTATGTGCTTGTATTATTTTGATTTTAAACTTAATAAATTATATGATTTAAAATTTTAATGAACGTTATTATCCCGATCTTTTTTTGATATTATTTCATTTATCGGGACGGCGGGACGTCCCGATCTTGTTCCGATCCCGTCCCAACTCTTAACGAGACGGGACGACTTTCAAAATAAGATGAGACATGGGACCAAAATTCAGTCTCAATTTTTTTTTTGGGACGAGACATAGGACGGGAGTGTCTCGATTCCGTCTCGTCCCGTGAACACCCCTAATGTTAGCTCACGTCTTTTTTCTCTTTTCTTCTTTTCTTTTTGGGGCGTGGTCTTGTGGACAAGCTCATAGTAGTAAAAAGTCAACACACAAAAGAGATTCTAGTCAAATACTTGAAGTGTTAGTTTTTTTTTTTTGACCAGTGCTTGAAGTGTTAGTTTACTTTCAGTAATTAGTAGTAAGCAATAAAAAATTCTACAGCAATGTAAAATGGAGTTTTAGTTTACATATATTGTAACCACATGAACTCCTTAAAACATAAATTTCTGTGACAATTTTCATATTTAAATTTAAAATAATGGTGCGCACACGCGCATCCTTTGTAATTACTGTCAGATTTCTAGTGTAGTTCTCCAGTGATTGCAGCACAAGTGATTAAACTATTTCCTTTACCTCTATGTGGGCTCACAAGGGTAAATGCAGTGGTGTGGCTTATGCCACATAATCCTTATATTATGGTCGTGTTCTTATTTCTTTCTGTCATTTTGATGTGTGTCTCGTCTTTTTAAAAAAAAATAGTTTAAAAAACATCTAGCACCATCTTGTTCTCAATATTTTGATCTCGGGAATGATTGTTTGAAAAAAATAAAATAAAATACGTAAAATTTTTTTAAATTTTGAGACAGTTGCATATAATCTCCCTTATATTTAAAAGTTTAAAATTAACCCTCCTAATCTTTAATTTTGTTTTGCAAAATCCTTTATTGTTAATTATGTTTTTTTATGAAGGTTAAAATGTCATTCAACTAAAAAATATTATTAAACAAAAATATTATATTATATAACTATTTATAATAAATTTTTTATATTTTTTGGATAATTGAGGCATTAATAATAGCCAAAAAAATATTACTATCACCATATAAAATTTTAAATATTTACTTTTGTGTTAATTTTTTATATTTTTTTCATTAATGGTGCATATTTTTTTAATATTAAAAGATAAATTAATCTAATATGGTAATATTAGATTAATCCAACATGTGCATTATATTAATCTAACATGAAAACATAAATAAAAATTTATTTTTTAAAGCAATACAATCATGCACCGTTGATAACAAAAAAAATATAGATAAAACTAATATGAATATAAATATTTAAAATTTATATAATGATAATAACATTTTTTGTTATTGATGCCTCAACTATTTAAAAAATAAAAAAATTCATTATAAATAGTTATCTGATATAATATTTTTGTTTAATAATATTTTTTAATTGAATAATATTTTAATCCTTACGAAAAAATAACATAATTAACAATAGAGAGTTTTAAAAAATAAAATTAAAGGTTAAGAGGGTTAATTTTAAACTTTTAAAAGTGAGAATGTTATATACAACTATTTCAAAATTCAGAGAATTTTTATATATTTTAGCCAAAAAAAAAAAGAAGTAAAGATCAAGAGCAAAATTGTGCAAGATATCTTCAAAGTGTGGGTAGTATTTTTTTTTTAAAAAACTTAATTTGCTCCCTATTCTATATCCAAGTACAAATTGAATTGATGATGAATTACTTTGAAATAGGATGAACATTTTTTAATATAAATTACATTCTCAAGACTAAAGTTAAGGTAGCAATCATTCTTATAAACTGTTAATTTGTAAAGACATATTCTTTAAAAAGATATTATATATTAATAATATAGTCAGTCTTATTTTTAACTTTCATATAATAAACCAACATACTCTCTCCATTTAAAAATATAAAACATTTTTAATTGAATCTCACATTCAATAAAATAATTATCTATTTTTAATTAATTTTATTTTTTCATATTTATCCCTATTAAACACCCTATAATAAATATAAAGTCATTATCAATAGGGACACTTTTGATAATGATTACATCTTAAAAGATTAAAAATGTCTTATATTTTTGAACATTTAAATCCTCAAAAAATGTCTCATATTTTTGAACGAAAGAGTATAAAATTTTCATTAAATAAGGGAAGCTGAAGATCCATACTAAAAATAGGTGAAAATATAAAACCTGTAATTAAAACAGTGTACGTGAAACCTATGATAAAATTAAAATTTTAATTTACATAAATTGTAAAAAATAGGCATACAATCCATTGAACTTTTTCGAATTTTAATGTTAACAAAATAATAATTTAAAAAATTAAACTAATTATAATCTCAATTTTTTTTCCTATTACCTTTTGTTTTGATACATCCGTGCATGGCACGTGGTGTAAAATCCAGTTGGGATTTAAATGTTGAATCCCCATTCGCTCCATTTTGACCCAATGATATCTTTATTGAAAAACGTTGAAAAATGAGTCTGAAAGTTGGCACGAGACGAGATCGTCATGATTTGATGAAGGTTGAAAAGATGACCAAGCTGAAACGTTTTCAGGGATCAGCTTGATCGGGAATCGTCTCGCGGATCGAGAGAGAGAGAGAGAGAGAGAGAGAGAGAGACCTCAGACCATGATATTGCAGCACTCCACTTTCTCTGGGGCTTCTTCTCCTTCTCAGATTTGCCTTCCTCTCAGCCAATGGCAAAAGCAGACGAACCTAATTCTTCACCATCAACTACCCCTTCCTCGTCTCAGAGTCGCCAGATCGTCCTCCTTCAAAATCACTTGTTTCGTACCAGGATTGTTCGATGCCTTCGCTCAAATAGCCTCTAATAAGGTATCATTTGTTGAGCTCATGGTGTAATGCTTCAATTCTCTCTACAGTTTCTGGGGGCTCTCTCTCTCTCTGTTTTTTTTTTTTAAACTCCATCTCGTTGTTTCCAAGATTGTTTGGTAAGTTTCAGTTTGATCATCTGGTATTCATATGGTTGGTGTCCTTAACTGTGAGAAGTTACAAAAGTCTCTAAAGAACTTGTGGTCAACTCATATAAGAGAACAGTATTTGGGTTACATAATTTTACTAGATGACAAATGATCGAGTGAAATGATTCTAAAAATCAATTTGATTGGGGGAAAAGGACATTGAGGAGGAAATCTGACGACTAAAGAATCATCTCACTTGATCACTTGAGTGAGTCAATTCAAACATCTCTCCCTCGTTATCATGAGGACAAAATTAAAATGAAAAGGCTTGTAATATTGAAGGATAACACTAACTTAATCAAAAGTGGAGGACCAAAATGAAACTTTCATGATTTTATATGAACCAAAGCGTATTTAAGATTCTCTTCCCCATCTAATTTATGTTACTGAAATTTTCCTCCCCTGTTATGATTAAGGTTCTGATTGCAGCCTTTACTTCTGCGTTAGTTGGGCAGCTTGTTAAGCCCTTGACTTCTGTATTTCTTTATGGAAAGAAGTTTGACGTCAGATCGGTGATTGATACTGGAGGATTCCCTTCAACACATTCTTCTGTAAGGCCTATACATCCCCTAATCTGGCTTTCGTCTATCTCACTTGACTGATTGATTATTTTCATACCCCAGTTCAGGGGTTTAGTTTTCAGTGTTGACCTCACGGTTGTTCGCATTTCCCTGTGTATAGGCAACAGTGGCTTCTGCAACATTGTTGGGCCTTGAGAGGTGAGAATATTCGGCTAGCATGGACTATAATTCACAGCAATATTTCTCTGTTTTATATAATCTTCTGAAACTTGAAGAATCTAGCATGAAGTTATGTTTTGGACGGGCTGTCTTATTGCTGTGCTAATTGAAACCGTTTAAATTTCCAAATGCAGAGGCTTCTCCGATCCCTTTTTTGGTATCACGTTTGTGTATACTGGCCTTATTATGTACGATGCTCAGGTATGGAATTCTCTTATAATCTTGTTCCCCCTTCATGCATATACAGTTATGGTTCTTTTGATGTCCATTTTAATCATGTGGTTGTGATATGTTCTGTCTTTTCAACAAATTTGGATTTAGACAGTGTTTGTTTGATCATGCTAGAGAAAAGGCTGCTTTTAGTTTTAGGAGAAAAATATCACCTTATTAAAGATTACAAGCGTTTGGGTTTTCATATGTTGAGAATGGGCTATTCTTCAGGGCTTTGATCTTACTTCTAGCCATGTCTTGTAAAATGATTCAGGTTCCATGGCATGTTTAAGAGTGATTAAATTCAAACCTTGTTGAACAAAAGGCCACCCACTATAAACTAGAAAGATGTAGATTTAGGTAGCGTGTAAGAGTGTCGTGGTGAGAGCAAAACCGTGTGTATGTCATGTAGCAAGTGTGAATATGTATTAGGTGGTGTGTGAGAGGGTGTGTTCGTGAGAAGAGTGACAGAAAAGTGAAGGAGGTTGAAAAGTCAAAATTATTTTTGTAAATTGCTGTTTGAGTAAATAAGAGCATAATGGCGTCTTGCAATCCATGTAGCGGATCCCACCTAGTGGGATAAAGGCTTGTTGTTGTTGTTGTTGTTGTTGCTGTTTGAGTAAATAATAATTTTTTTTTTTTAGGAAGTCCTTGTCTTCCTTCAAGCATTTCAAAGCCTTCTCCCACTTAAATTCCAACATGTCTCTGGGACCCGAACCTGCTAGTGACATACCTCACATTGTGTATTGCATTCCCTATAATTTTCTTATATCTTGGTGATCTGTGTTGAAACTTCTTGCTTGATCCGGTGATTAAATTGTTCACTTGGACGCTCTAAAACCATATTTATTGTCACAAAGATAAAATCTTGGTTGAATTCGATATTTGTTTTGGTCTGTCAGGAAGAATCCTTAGCTTGTTAAGGTTAATGAGACATCTCATTTTCTTTTTCTTATTCATGATCTTTTTAAAAGTTTATCAGAACAATGCAAACTGTTGAACTAGTAATATTTTAAAAGATTTGATCTGGTGATCATTTGCAGGGTGTAAGAAAAGAAGTGGGGACTCATGCCAAGTTACTGAACAAACTACTGATCCAGACGCAATTAAACTCTGCAATACGTTCCAAAAATACAGATGCTAATTTGATCACCTCTAAGCCCCTTGTGTCAAAAGGCCAAGAAGCCTCTTCCATGGATCCAACACTAAGGAATGCTTACCTATCAATTAAATTAAACAAACCAATAACTCAAATTGATGGGGAGCCATCTTCTTCATATGGCTTGTCAGCAGCAGATGCAGCAGAACTCTGCAGGTTGGCTGGTGAGGATGGTTTAATCCCATTTAAAGAATCGGTTGGCCACACATCGAATGAAGTGTTTGGTGGAGCTGTGCTTGGTTTCTTAGTTGGGCTGCTCCTCCATAATTTCTTGCGATGATATTAATATCAAATCCTTTTGCTGCATAATTCCTCCTCGTATTTTGTATCACTTGTTGACTGAAAAATATACGAGGGGGATGGTGCACGATACTTAATCGTGTATGATTATAGCATTGAAATATGCAGATCTTAAAAACATGTGAGGTCTAATGCTGCCGGAAGAATGTTGTACTCTAAGATCTGCATAATCATGTATGTTTGTAGCATTAAAATATGCATTCACCTGCATAATACAGATCTCTATAACTTTTTACAAATAAAATGTTTTTCAGTGTGTTCTTTCAATGATTGAAACCGTCACACAAAAAGAAATTATCACCAATACAATATTTTCCTATCAATTATTAATAATGTAATTCATTTTATGATAGATTTAGTTAATATATTTATTAATTTATTATTTACTTTATGTATAATAAAATAACAAAAATTTTTTTTATAAAAAATCAATAATAACATTAAGGAACACTGGTTTACAATAGATAAGTAGTGAAAAAGTCGAAAGGGCAAGGAGGCAAGAAAAAGGGAAGATCACGGGAAATATTTAACTCTATCATATGAAATGGAGTGACAAGTTTGTAGATGTGTTGCACTAAATGTTGAAGCAGATAATATTTTGACGATAATCCATCAAAAAGCTTCTTGCGAACAAAACGGAGGAAAATGAAACTTTGTAAAAAAAAAAAATTGTATTATAAAGACAAGTCTTAATCTATGTTAAAGCAGCCAAAATGCAAAGCAAATTGAAACTTGAGATTTTGTGGTAAACGAACATCTCAAACTTAATAATGCTGTGTAAAATTGTAGAATTGCAATAAAACAAAGCTAAGCAAATTATAATTCCAGTTGTCATTAGTCTTATATCTCCCCATTCTAACATTCCAAATTAAAGGTTTGATAAATCACCAAAAAAAAAAAAAAAGACATCGCGGTGATATGATGATGACAAACAAAAGAAATAAAGAATTTGTTTTTGATGAAAAAATAATAATAAAATTCTTTTAAAATATATAAATGATAATTTAGTTTCTCAAAATATCATAATTTTCTTAAAGTTTTTGAGAACTTTTCTGTCATTAATAAATTTATATAAATTATCAAATTACTCTTGTTATAAATAAATAATTTACAACTTTTTTTTATATTTGTAATAGCGTAATAGCAAATAAAAAATTTAACATATGAAGTTGTGATTTGTTGTTGTATTGTTATGAATATAAAAAGAAAAACTTTGAATATAAAAAAAAGTTATGAATCATTTATTTTTAACAAGAATAATTTAGTAATTTATATAAATTTATTAATGATAGAAAAATTTTTAAAAACTTTGAGAATTATGATATTTTGAAAGATTAAAATATTATTTATATATTTTTTAAAAAATTTATTATATTTTTTTAAAGAAAAACAAGCAGTAATCTTTCGAAAGAGGTAGAGGAGCATGAACATACCACGTGGAAAGGTCGGGACGCGTGTAAGTCCATTAACACGAGGGGATGCCACGTAGGTTGATACTGGCAAGGTAGCAGATCGGTTTTCTTTTGCCGATGTCCCGCGGTTATATAAAGGCGGGACTGAACTGAACTGAACTGAACTCAAACAGCCTTCCACAGAGAGAGAGATGTCAGGGGCGCAAGGAGCACAGCCAAAGGAGGCGAGAACGGCGACGGTGTATGAGTCGGTGGAAGGAGGAGAGAATAGGACGAGGACGGACCTCCGTTCGAGGGAGGACCAAGGGAGCATTCAGGTGGACAAGTTGCAGGAGAAGGTCCCTGATCCCGCCGGTAAAGGTGGACCTGTGTTCGGCGCCGGAAAAGACGAAAACAAGCCCGACCTTGGTGTTACTGGCACTGGCTAGCTACTTAATCATGAATTCAACTAACTAGCTATACGTACGTGTATCGTTATTGCAAGTCTTTTTCTTTTGAAGTATTGAGCGTGCTTGGTCTTAAGCTGCGGTTTCCTTGCCTCGCGCCTGTGTAACCCTCCGCCTTCCGTCTTGTTCAAATTTCCCACGCATCACTTTCATTACCAGACGTGAAGCGAACGCCATCAACAGTAGCTGTTGTTTAGCATATGAATAAGAAAATAAATATTTGTTAGAAAAGATATTTGCGGTGTCATATTGTCAAGTGGGATGGATAGAGAATAATAAAAGAAAAAAAAAGGGCTAAAATGCAGATAAAATTAAATATAAAAATAGCCGAGGGATTTTCATCGGGGCAGATCCAGATTTAATTGATGGAATTAAGGATCCAATTCAAATCCAATTCAAATCCAATTCAATTCTAAATTCTCAACACAGGGTGTGTTTTACAATAAGATATAAATTTGTTGAATATATATAAAGCTGTTAATATAAGATATATAATTTGCCCCTATATATATACATATATATGAGAACATATTGCCCTGGGCACGTTGTGCAGTGCAAGTGAGGTTCCTATTGACAAGAGCTCGAGGCACGAACTTGATGTTGCGTCACATATTCTGTGATCCACTTTCTTGAAATTTCGAAAACCATTTTGTTGATTTTTTCTGCTAAAATTTGATGAATTTAAACAAAAAGCAGCGATAAATTTTTTTAAAAAATAAAAAATATAAACTCACATAAATCATAAGGAAAGAAAATTTAAAAAAAAAACAGAAAATTGAAAGAAAGAAAAAGTTGAGAAGAAAATAAAAAGTAAGTTCCACCACTTTTCCTTCTCACATTTTTCACAATGTGGAGAGATTTTGGAAAAAAAAAAAAATAATTTCGATATTGCCCTCCTTTTTTTTAATCTTCTTAATTCTCAACTTTTTTTTTGACACTATCTTAAACTAACAACATTACACACGTATTTATCTTTCATGACTATTATCTTCTCCATTTTTGTTTTTAAAAAAAATAAGCATGACCTTTTGTTGGAAAATAAATCAATGTTTATATATTTGCCCTTTTATCTTTCGGTGGTATTAGTTAATTTGATTTCTTACGGGTTATTACATTTTTTTGCAAAAAAATATATCTTGCAAATTATTTAATGTTAAAATATTGATATGATCTTATTTTTTCCCTTTAATTTATTTTAATAAAGATAATAACTTAGAGTATTGTTGTTATCATGTCATGTGTTTATTTTTTTCCTCCTAATTTTCCCTCATTCATTAAAATAAAAATAATATTATTTATTTATTTATTTTTTTCCTGCTCTCAACTTTTCTTCCTATCAAAGCATAAAAGTAATTTCAGAGAATAATTTAGAAAGATTCCATGCGACAAGACAAAGCACAAAGCAGGGTTCTTGTGTGCAAGGCTGAAAAGTATAATAGAGAGCTAAATCACTAGTTAGTTTGCTGCCTGGATTCCATTTTCTGTGGCTCAGACCGTATCAAAATCCAGAAAGAGAATGACGTTCTCTCCAGTCGTGGGGTTCCGGCTCATGAAAATGGCGGGTGAGAATGGGACTTACACCAGTCGGTCGTGCTAGATTCTTCCCCGCTTCTCTTTCTTACCGAGCCGCTCCAGTACTGGAGAGGAACTGATCTCCATCTTTATCCCATCTTTGCAATGCACATTTTTGTTTTGTTTTAAATTTTGTTTGAAGTTACAGTGCCCATCATGTCCACTTATAAAAGCAGGGCTCGCCGAAGGAGGAATCAGAGCGACCATATCAGCAGTTTCTCGCTGGAGGAGGAATCAGAGCGACCACATAAGGTTAAATTGTGTTCTTGCTTCTCTAATGTATTTTAACTTGATGTATGATGGACGGGGTTGAAATTGGGAAATGTGCTGAATTGCAGGAGAAGCAGCAGCAAGAGGAGGAGCAATTAACTGATTCTGGGGCTGCACAGGACAAGGGCCATGATCTACAAACTCTTGTCAGAAGGTTCTGGAAAGTGGCGACTCCTTACTGGTCGTCGGATGACAGAGTTCAAGCAAGATTACGGCTTGCTGCTGTTTTTGCTCTCACCTTGGCTACCACTGGTATCAGTGTGGGCTTCAATTTCCTTGGGCGAGACTTCTATAATGCACTTGCCAGTAGGTTCATGTATATATCTCTGCATAACTGCTTAGTGTTGTCAAAATGATTTGGCCATTTATACGAGATTTCGCTTTAATATTTTTTGAATTATTAGGAAGCGACTGAATTGGTTTAAATATGTTAATGCAAGACAAGGACCAAGTGCAATTCAAGAAGCAGCTACTTTATTACTTGGGTGGCTTTGCTGGAGGAATCCCGGTGAGCACGTTCATGGGCTTTCTGGTGCATAGATCTGCTGGACCTTGCTTTAGTTCTTCCCATGTTGATCATTCTGTCTTCTATGCAACCTGAAAGGACCTGGAAATGGGAAAGATGCAAGAGATGAAATAGAACTAACACGCTTTTAAATCACCTAGACGTGACTAACAATTACAGCATGTCATGTTTTTTGGCCTCTGTCTGCCCTCTGAGGGTTCAAAAATCATGTTGCCCTTCTCTGTTTTGGGCAGTAATAACATTCAATATGTGCATCAAATATTTTTCTTCTAATCTGTAATTCATTTTGGAATAAAGAAATTCTTGACTTCAGAACTCTGTATGTAAAGATATATATATATATATATATTATATACATATGTAGAAGTCCGAAGATATTTTATCCCCAAAAAATGAAGCAAACCCCCACGGGATTGCTTCAATTTTCAGAAGGTGTCTTAGTTGGCTGCCTAGATGTTTCAGAAGCAGCTATCAACAAGTTATATGTAGACTTATCGTTTATTAAGCATGCAGACAAATGTCTTGAAATAGAGTATAACACCTAGGGAATCCGTTTCCCTTTTCTTCTTTCAGATTATTTTGTATCATGAAATTCTTCTATTTGGATGCTTTTGTGTTTTTATTTTTTGCTTTGTAGTACCTTACTCCAATATTGTGCACGTGTTCCTAACTTTCTTCATCACTGAGTCGCAGTTTTTTGCATTGAGAGATTATGCAATAGAAACTCTTTCTTTGAGATGGAGGTGTTGGATGACAACCTATTATATGGAACGCTATTTCAAGGATCAGACTTTCTATAAGATTCAGTCACAATCTTCCCTTGATAATCCAGACCAGCGACTTGTTGATGATGTGAATTCTTTCACTACAACAGCTCTCTCATTCTTTCTGACTCTCTTTAATGCTGCTGTAGACTTAATCTCATTCAGTAACATCTTGTATTACATCTATCCTCCTCTCTTTGTTGTTCTTCTCATATACTCCATCGGTGGGACAGCTATCAGTGTTTTCCTTGGAAAGGTAACGAGTCTATTTTTTGAGTGACAATCGAGAATGTAAGGCAAAAGCCACAAAATATATGAGGAGCTTTAACATAGTGCCATATTTCTTAATTGAAATTTTCTTAATGACAGGGATTGATGACTTTAAATTTATTGCAAGAGAAAAAAGAAGCCGATTTTCGTTATGGGCTTGTAAGGATTCGAGAAAATGCAGAATCAATTGCTTTCTATGGCGGTGAAGAAAGTGAAATGCAAATTCTTCTGCTCAGCTTCAAAAGTGCCTTCGAAAATCTAACTGTAAGACTTTTTTTTGAATAATCACAGTTAAAAAAAATGTATTAGGGCATTCTGCACTAATTCAACTTGCTTTGCTTCTTGAGTTTTTTTTTTTTTTTTTTGGTACACATATTCATCTACACTAATCTTTGTTTCTTGAGTTTTTGTTACACATATCTGTCTAAAACTCTAGATATAGCGTAAGTGACTTTTGCCATATTTAATGAAGTTAAAGCTATGCTGAATTGCTGATCCTTTTGTTTTCTTTGCAAAGATTGAAAAACAGAGGATTTAAGATGATATGACAATTGTCATGAGAAGTGTTAAAGTAATACCTAGTGGAAATGATTTGAGGCTTCAGTAACGCTTTAGAAAATAGGATAGATGCTGTTTTAGGAATTAAGAACTGCAGAACTGCCAGATAAAGTATTGCAATCTCAGATATAAAAGCTACAGAAAGGTGGGTGCATTGAAATCCCATCGTACAGGAATCTGGAAATCAGTTTTCTTTGCAAGTTCGCAGATGTAGCAAAAAAGATAAGATCCATGGAACCATACTTTCTATGTAGATGTTAACAAGTTCCAACATCAAAACTCTTGATCTTTAAATTAGTTTATTCATAATCAACCAGGAAACTTAACCTAGAAAGGTAGGCAGTTATATGAAATATTGAAATGGGAAGTGAGACAAATGCTGCACTTCAATCTCTTGACTGATCAGCGTCAATGAGACCTGCCCTGCCAAATTGTTGGATCCCTGCCTTCTAATTATAGATCTATATCTAACAACAATATCATGTACTGTGAAAACTGGATTAGAACAGCCAATGAAGTACAAACAAGGAGTTCTCCCCATATCTGACATATGTCGGACCGTCATTGGATTTTGTCACATTGCTGTGTTTGTGTCCATGCTTCCTAGAGACCAGCTGTGTTTGAGTGGATTAACTGGGAAGCTCTGCAGCTAAAACCCTCTGATTTGGATCAGTTAAGCTCAGCCATTAAACTATTGGAATTGGTCTATTCTGTGAAATACTACATGCAACCTCTTTTCTGCATCTTTTCTTTTCCCTTTTAGTGTTGTACTTCTTGCTGTAGGTTACATCATGCAGTTTCATCCTTTAGCTTACAATGATGCGCTGATGAATGGTGGAACTTTGTATTTCTTATTTTGCAGCAATTGCTGATCTCTTCTAGAAATCTGCAGTTCTTTACAAAAGGCTACCGCTATCTTATTCAAATTCTTCCTGCTTCCATTGTAGCGCCCATGTATTTTGCAGGAAAAATTGAGATTGGTGTGATCAATCAGTCAATCTCTGCTTTTAATCACATCCTTGAGGACTTTTCCCTTGTTGTGTTCAAGTTTCAAGCTATAAGTGCATTTTCTGCTGTTATTAATCGGCTTGGTATTTTTCTTCTCTATCTTTCTCATCATTACATTTGTGAGGATCTAATGAATAATTCAACATTAATCAGCGAATGCACTTTTAGCCTGCAGATAGCAGAGATTCTTGTATATCTTGCCATTGATAAATCTTGCATTTTTTTAAAATCATTGTACTGTTCTTTGTATTGCATTTTCTGTTGTTCGAAAGTAATTATATCTTCAGTCCTTATAATATCCGTTTATTCTATTTATAGTCTTAATGTATGTTTTGTAACTGTTTTCTTTTATCTGCTGACTCATTATGAATTTTTTGGTCACTCTCTTGTGTTGTTTGCACTATCAATCATCATGTTATATGCAGGACCTGGGAAATGTGATATTCACCAGTTTAGTCTGTTGATTTATGCATATTGAAATACACACTGATAAAGACTATCTCTGGATGGCATATGTAGGTGAGTTTGATGATGTCTTGGACAGAAGCAGCATCTCTAATTTACACTCCAATACCTTGGAAGAGATATTGGTTACTTACAAATGTTCAAAGAGATCATCTATATTGGAATCCAATGGATTGTTGAACCCCGTAGAAAAAACTGAGACATTATTGGATGTAAAAAACTTGACCTTGAATACACCAAGTGGAGCCACACTTATCAGAGAGCTATCATTAACAATCAAGGAAAAGGATCATTTACTGGTCAGCAATCTATTTAGGTTTTCTTCTTGATTGAAGCGGTAACATTTTAAGGCTGTAAAATTGAATTTCTAATATAACCAATTTTACAGATAATTGGACCAAGTGGAAGTGGCAAGACTTCTTTGTTAAGAGCTTTGGCTGGTCTATGGAACACTGGAACTGGAAAAATCTCATATTATGAGAAAAATGGAGGAGATTCTCAGCAACCTGTTTGTTCAGATGTGAATGCTCCTACGGTAAATACTGCCCATGGTGCGTGTGAAATACATGGAAAATCTATGGACAAAGACTCTCAAATTTTCTTCCTTCCTCAAAGGCCATATATGATTTTGGGCACCCTCCGTCAACAATTACTCTATCCAACTTGGGCTGACAATGCGATCCCTGCATATGATAGTGGTAAATCCAAAAGTATGTCATATCTAGTTTCATTCTCATTAGACCCCTCATTTTTAATTATGTTATTAACTCCGCATTCTTTTGTTGTGTTCTGTCTACATTTCATTTTGGCCAGTGGAATTCTTGATACAAAATGTGCTACCTCTCTAGTATTATACCATTTCCATATTGATGATTATTATTTATAAGGATCAAATGGCAGGTTGTGGTATTGTCAATAGTAAGAATGAAAAAAATGGCTTTTTTGTGTGGGAAGCCTTTCAGTAATCAGACATAAAGGGAAATTTCTGACCGAGAAGAGAAGTTTACTTTTTTAAAAGATAGTTTTATGTAGCAAGCATTGAAGTTGTGCAGGCGGTATTTTCGAAGTTAATTCAACAGTGAATAGATAAGTTATCTTTGACCAAGAGATTAACAGACAGAAATGCATCTTGCTTATCTTTGATTAAGTAAATATTAACTGCATAGCTAAATTAATATATAACAGAACCAAGGCTGATGAGTGCCTTTCCTTTTCGTTATTCATTGGCTCCATTAATTGTATCTGAAGCACTATGCAATCCAGAATTCTGCAGAGATGGTCACCTTTCCCTTATTTTTATCATGAATAATCAAACTATAGATGAAAGGTGAACAAAAATGAATTTACGTTCTCATTTATGTTCTTCACTCTTGACAAGTGTTTAAACTTTATAACTATGATAACTTCTGTGAGATTGGCCAATCCTGAATGCTGCCTTTTATAGGTTGTAGCAAACAGCTTAATCACATGATTGTCATTTAAATGTTGTGATTATATGGGAAAATCCCATGGGAACTCCGTTTATCATATAATTTTTTTTGGATATAAATTATTTAATAATATAAAAATAGAAGACTGGAAAATATTGGCAAGAATGCTCATTAATTGAGGTTATTTTGACTTGTCTTCCAGGCATGCTTCCTTTTTTCATGAAATCGTCAAACTATGGAGACAAAAATGAAGGACCTAGGTATCCAACGTCAGATGAGTTGACAACGGTCTTGGAGGATGTTCGCCTTGGCTATTTGTTTGCTCGTTTCAGCTTGGATTCCATCCATGAATGGTCAAGTGTTCTCTCTCTGGGTGAGCAGCAAAGGCTTGCTTTTGCTCGCATTTTGCTTTCAAAACCTAGGTTGGTTTTATTGGATGAATCCACAAGTGCACTTGATGAACCCAATGAGGTACTTTTAAATTTCAATTTCAATTTTTATCCGACAAAAGTTGATGTTATCCAATTTGATAGGCAAATTACAATCCTCCATACTGGCATGTCTTATTCATATAACATATTAACATGACCTTTGAGAAGAACTTGTGAAGAAAAGATCCCACCACCCCACAAAAAGTTATGGTGATAACCAAGGCTAAGGACCATCAACCAAAAATGGATGTGTCAAGGACTGCTTCATTTGAAAGAACTTAAGCTGTTAGGTTCAGGATCAAGACAGATTTTATTACTCTAACGTGCCCTGTTTGGAGTACTGTTCTGACATAACCCAAAAAAAAAAAAAAAATTACTTGGCTCTTCACGTTTCATCCAAGTTTCAGAACTACCTGAGTTCATTGCATGGAGCTTTCTTTTCTCTTCACCGCATGGAGCTAAAAGATATACTCCTTCATTAAAGTTCTTTCTTTCTATTGTGCTTTGGCTTTACAGTTTCATTTGTACCAGAAGATTGGAGCAGCAGGTATAACATACATCAGTGTTGGCCACCGACAAACCTTATGCGGCTACCACAACAGGATCTTGCGCATATCTACAATGAATATCAATAGTGAAGAGCCAGATTGGTGCATTGAATCCATTAGATGACTATCGTGATTTTTCAGAGCCATGATTGTAGCCGGCTTCAAAATTAATTGCCTTGTTTGGATGCTGAGTTGTCAGGCAAACATCTATGCTTCAAATTCATTGAATAATAATTTTCATGCATATTGAATATTTGTTCTTGTCTTTTGACGTCTCCCTGCTTTTAAGTAGCTTCTATTACATTCGAAGATTCATATCCAGGTCAATTAAGAGTCGTGGGAACTCTATTACATTAATGACATGTTCATAGTTGAAAGACTGATGGATTTTACATCAACAAGAACAAGCATTATCTTATTAACTAGGGTCAGTTGTATAAATTGCATCAGCAACCAACTTAAAAGACTAATGGTGTTTTATTTTAGAAGTCTTTTAAGGATGTTCCTTTTTTTCCTACTTGGTTCTGTAGAGACTTTCTGGAGTCTCTCAAGTCTGACTGATTGTTCCCAGCCAATCATTTTGAGGGTGCGAGGCTTGGGGCTTTTTGGTGTATCTTTATAGAAGAGAAAGTAATTCTGTTGAAATTGTCAAGCTTGATGGGGTTGGGGTTTTTTAAACATAGTTATGATCTTGAATGTTTGAATAAGAGGCATTTTGTACCGACATTGACTAATAATTACTCAATCGGTAAATTTATTTGATCTCACAATACAAGTGGCTTCATTTTAATGCACATACATGCATCCCAAGAATGAAGTAGCCAGCCAATTGTATACAAGAAAATTCCACATCAGAATCTGTCATAATGTATGACAAGAATCAAGGGCTACGCTTGAATCTGTCGCTGAACCGCCTGAAACAAGCAAGTTTTAGCTGGTTGAGAAATGTATGATCTTTGTGCAGCCAATTGGTGCATGCAGCTGAAAAAAAATCCCAAAAATAGCTTTGCCACCTATATCAACATATAGTTGTTGCCACAGTCTTAATGGATCATTGATAACATGAAAGATATGATTTCATTGTCAACAAATATCATTAAACCAAACAGAACCAACGTCCATTTTTCATAACATAAGAACAGTGTACATTCTCCTTCAAACCAATGGCCACTCAGTAAAACAAGACACTTTTGGTTGCAAGGGTAATTTTACATCTTCAGCCCCTATTAATTTTTGGAAATAAATGCTGTTAGACTCAAAATTTCTTCATGCAGGAAAGAAGTCCCTAGGCCCCTCCCTTTGGAGCTAAAAGATCTCTCTACCAGCTCAAAAACTGTACAGAGTAACCGAGGACACGCGAAAAACAAAGGCCTTTCAGAAATTTATAGCCAAGATTGTTGAGGTAAGAAGCAGATCCAGATGATGATTACCCCACGTACAAGGGACCATTACCGCCATTGGCAAGCACAACATTTAATGAACCATTGGAAGGTTTGAACCCATTTCCACTGTGGTGTGCTCTCAACATTGTTGAATGTCCATTGCTATAATATTTTCCGTTACTTAACTTATTAGCGTGGCCAAGGCTTGGTGGTAGAACTGTCCTTGGTTCACATGCTGCTGTTATTAACCCTGTTTCACAGAAAGACGTTTAGTTTACAGAAAGCCAATCTTGCTCTGAGGAGAAACAAAGGTCAAGTATGGTGCAATGGAAAGGTATTTAAGGGAACGAGGATAGGAAAGGTTTCAAAAGATTATGTCAATGCCAATTTAACATTCCATTGATTTTTTAGTATCACTTTATTACTAGGGAATGCGAATATGTTTCAAACCCATTGAATAATCAGTCCTCAAAAGTTTGAAGACTAACATTTGAGTAACTCTACAAGGATGAAATTGAAACAGAACCATACCATACAGCATTAAAAATTTAAAATGATAAAACACACACACACACACACACACACACATCTAGATTTCACCATTTTTAGAACGAAAATAGGGTCACTGTCTTTTTTTCCATAACACTTGTTCGCTCACCTTTTTAAGCACATCTATAAAAGATCAATATCGTTGATGGAACATGAGATCACAAGAGGAAAGTTCTTAAGCAGAGACTGTTTATGAAAGATTTGTAGACCGATAAAAATTATGAATAGCCTTGTCAGACAAACTTTTTATGGGACCCTACATTGACATGCTTACGTATTTGTTTATAATTGACTTAATCTACCAATCGTTTTGTAGGCCAAGTCTGCCCAAGTCAATATGCCAGAACAATCATCTCAGACTAAAATTACAGGAAAAACAATCTGAGTCCTTTAAAGTTGTTGCATTATCATTTTAGTCAATTCATGAAATGATTCAACGATGCACCATTGAGACATGCAAGTGCACTATCATACCGGAATTTATATAGGATTAGCAGGAAGACTCGATCAACAAAGACTAAGAGAAAAACTGAAGCTTTTAGCCAAGCATGGAACTTCCATTTTACACAGGTTTGTTGCCTAGGCAATGCATCTAAATGTATGCTTCAGCCCAATTGAAGGGCATGAATAAAATAGCCATATGATATGGAAGAAGACCATCATGATTGCAAAAGGAATTCCAATTACCAATTACAATTTGAAAGACATGTATAAGTAAAAGGTTAATTGTCATCAAGTGTTCATCAAGAATAACTATACTAACAAGTGTATTGCATGCTTGTATAAAAAATATCAATAAATGAATTTTATAGTCAAAAAATGTGAAGTGGCTCTCTGGAAAAGTACCTAAGAAGGGCGGGGAAGGTTTCCCTGGCCTGGATGTGAACTCTGGGTGAAACTGAACGCCGATGAAGAAAGGATGACCAGGAAGTTCAACTATCTGCAATTGTATCACATACATACTTATCACGATTAAAATTTATTAATTAGTGGGAAAAACCCAAGATCCACCCCAGTAGGAATTCATGAAAATACTAACCTCCATGCGCCTCCCACTTTCATCTTTGCCAACGAAAGACAGGCCGGCATTTTCTAAACGTGATATCATGTCAGGATTAACCTGAATGGAATTACAATTATTTCAAGTGACATGTAGCGCCTTCATCCATAAAGAAAGTTCTCGCATGAAAATATAGTTTACCTCATATCTATGCCGATGCCGTGCATCAACAAAACTTGCATTGTTATACCTGTTCATAATTCCAAATTATTGTATTATAAATATATGCCTAATCATTATTTGGTAAGGATTCCTTGAATTTAGAGAATCTATTATGATACATGTGGGATGAATTTTCTTGAACATGATGAATATGCTCATAAACACAAATATCAAGTGAGAGATTGTTTCATCTTCTTAGGACATGGAATTTTATACTATTGTGAGTATATGCATGCATGTGAACTTAAGCTAGTTCTTAATTCGTACAGCTTAGCAGATTTGCAGTCCGCGACTTGGAAGTAAGTCCTCCTTGAACCAAGACGCATGGTCCCTCCCATATGAGTCTTTGAGCCCTATCAATACAATATAATCCAGGTTAACTATATTCTTAAAGGAAGATTATTGTATCGTACTAATATAATATACCTCTGGCATAAATATAACGCAGGGGGTCTTCGTTTCAGGATCAAACTCTGTGCTGTTAGCATCATGTAGACCCAGAACAGAGCGTGCAAACTCGATAACGGCAATTTGCATCCCCAGGCAAATACCCAAATATGGAACATTATTTTCTCGAGCGTACTTAGCAGCAAGGATTTTCCCTTGCACCCCTCTATCACCAAAACCCCCAGGAACCAGAACCCCATTAGCACCCTGCAATGGAAGATGATTCAGGAAAACAGAATTTAACCTCACTTTTGAATATATGTTTTACAACTTGCAGCAACATAAAAAGAAAACTGAAAAAATCACAAAAGTACAATTAGTAGGACAACCTTCAAAAGACGCCAAGCAGCCTTATGTGCTTCAGGATCCTGCAAGTAGATTAATCATCAGAGATCTGACAAAAAGTTTGCCTACATATGCAGTTCAGTAATATAAAAAAATCACCTCCTTAGATGTAGCATCTTCCAGCTCCCCAGCTGAAATCCAGTCCACGATAAGTTTACGCTTACAAGCAACAGAAGCATGCAAAAGCGCCTGCACAAACAAGGGAAGTTCAATACATTATGATATAGCAGAATTCAAAGAAAATTCACTGCCAATATATGCACCAAGTCAAGCAACTGATTCATTAATGATATCAAAGTAGGTTCTGTATCGTTTTTTGAAGCAAAATTAAATTAATTTTTGATGACAGGAGAAATATAAATGCAGACAACGAAGTAAAGATATTCATAATCGAGACAGAACTTAGCCCTACAGAGATAGGCCATGTTCCATGGGGATGACAGAGAAGATATCGTGAACAATATTTCTTCAGTGGTTTTGAAGAAATAGAAATCTCTAAAACTATACACCCCAATGCTTCACTTCTGAGATTATGCATGAAGTCACAAGAATTCAAAAATAAGGAGACAACAGCAGAACAGCAGTTCACCATCTTCTTTCCAATATGTACGTACATGTGGAGCATAATTTTGTCTTAATTTGTGACTACCAACCGCTTATGAGATCCTTTCGTGAGATCACGTCTTCAAGACCAAAACTATATGGCAGCATAATTTCTTAAATATCCAATTGTAGTCGTATTGTTTCCCACAGAGTCCTAATCTTCTTTGATCCTTGATGCTTAAATTTAAATCCTCCAGCAACTCTCCCTGAACAGTGTCTAAATTCAAGCCTCCCTGCACCAGATACTTATGGGTTGCTACAGGTCCATAGTTGTGACTGACAGATAAGCCATACAAAATCTATCTATGGTAGAAATGGGAACCACAGAAGATAAACTGGCTATTAATACCTATAAACATTGCGAGACATGAAGGTTGAGTACAGGAGAAACTCATGATGCCTTGTCAAATGAAGTACTAAGATCACAAGTTGCAAAAATGCCAAAGTAAACGGAAATTGATAGGCTTTGCTCAAAAAGAGGGAGGGGGGTTGATAGGCATTACTATTAGGCATGGTAAATAAAAATCAAACAATATACCTTTAAAACAGAAAGATAAGCATCTGAAAGGCTGGTGTATTTTCCCACCATTGCGATTCTAACCTGTGCAGCATATGATAGTTGTGAGCTAAATATTCAGCAGTTTAGAGAATCAAATATAAATTCATTCGGCAGTTGAGACGCACAGGTTCTTTCAATGAATCATAAACTTTTGTTCTTGCAGTCCACTCCTCCAAATTAGGCTCCGTAGCAACACTGCAAATAAAAGGGACATCAGTGGCGTGACAGAAACCATAAAGCAAACAGCGACAGAAAAAAGTATAAAGCTTCTCAGAACATCAAACCACTGCCAATATGAATTTTAGGGGAGGAGGTTGTACACCAAATAGAAAATGAGTTTGCAAACAAACCTTGTCAAGTTCAATGCTTTAAAGATTGCCTCATGCGCCTTTTGATCCTATTTGTTACAGAAAATATGAACAGAATAGAGTTCAGGTGCTTGTATAGATTAATCTCTTGATGAATAAGAACGGAGAGACCCCCCCGGGGGGGGGGGCTCAAATCAACTACCCAAGAAAGTGGACCAGATATCGCATTAATTGAATCATGAAACAAAAAAAGAGAATTTCATAGAGAAATTTCCATCAGTATAAGATGACAACCACATAAAACAGTTCCAAAAGAACTTTAAAATTACTTACTCTTAATAGCAAAGGAATGTGCCAAATGTTTGGAACATCATGAAGAGTAACTATGTTTGGTAACTGCAAGTAAAAGAACTTGCTTAGAGAAATTTTTTAGACTCCAGTGAAAAGCAAGGAGAAAAATATCAGTGTATGTCATATTACCGGCACATGACAAAACTGAGACAATTTTGCCTTGACATTCCCATCGAGCTCCTGGCGGTGACAAGAAGAGTTAATTATTTTTAGACTATTATTCCATATGGAAATAACAGGATAATAGGAAAAAGCAACAAGGGCAAACACCTTTGAGCTGCGACAAGCTAGAACATCGGGAGTCAAACCTAGCCCTCTAAGTTGACGGACACTGTGCTGAGTTGGTTTTGTTTTCTGTACAATAAAACTATCAGTAAGTATGTAAAAGACAGTATCCGACAATTAACATAAACCAAAATTCTCAGTCTTATAATTGAAGTATTAAACTAAGTTTTTTTTTAATTTCTTATTTAATTTTAATTGGCATATATAAACATTACTCGGATGACAATTAGATATATATTTCAGCATACCTGTTCACCAACAACATTAAGAACAGGGACTAGGCTGACATGAACCAAACAGAAGTTGCCAGAGCCTATAATAACAAATAGTAAAATAAGCAAAATGGCCTCAGAGAAGCAAATATAAAATTAAAAACAAAACAGAATCAGTAAACTGCATGGTTTGAACACAGAAAACATTACCTACTCGGTACGAAAATTGGCCAAGTGCCTCAATAAAAGGCATAGACTCAATATCACCTACATCAAAAGAAAAAAAAAAGTAAATTTTGAATTTTGAATTCATAATAAAGATATTCTAAATTTTCATGGTACTGCCAAAATTGAGACTTTTCCTGATCCTGATTTTCTGTGCAGGAAAAAAAAATCTTCTCACACCTCACTCATGATTATTAAAAAAAAAAAAAACACATGGCATTATTTGAGTGGAGTTATAATAGTCCACTCCTGAAAAAATACTGCCTAATTTTGAACTAAAGATTTTTCTAACAATACCAATTTACCTATAGTTCCACCCAATTCAACAACACAAACATCAGCAGGTCCTTCTTTTCCATCAACTGGTATCTTTGCTGCACGCTCTATCCACTCTTGGATGGCATCTGTTACGTGTGGAACAACCTACAAATAGTGAGAAGTTCAATACAAAACCAACGTACAATTAACCACTGCAGGTAACTTTAAAAGGGACAATCTGAAATATTAAACACACCTGGACAGTCTTTCCCAGATAATCGCCTCTTCTCTCCTTCTCAATAACAGACTAGCATGCGTTCAAAAACAATTTCAAGTTAACCAAAATAAAATGCAAATATTCCCAAGGCTAGTTAGAAATAAGAATGTAGGGAGTTCAGTTACTTGATATATTTTTCCAGTGGTGATATTGTTGTCACGGGTTAATTTGATATCCATGAAACGCTCATAATTTCCCAAATCAAGGTCAACCTTCAACACCAAAAAGGAATTAAAGATATAGATACAATCTCAAGTTGGCTTTTAAGGAAGTAGCAATTTGCACAGTCTCATACGTAATTAGCAGTAATAATTTCACTTACCTCACCACCATCGTCTAAAACATAAACCTCCCCATGCTCAAAAGGAGACATTGTCCCAGCATCAGTATTCAGATAGGGATCTGCACATGACAGTGAAGTTTAAACACAGTAAGTAGAAATTTGGGATAAACTGCATTATCATGTTATCTAACAATAGTTTTCAGAGAAAGACAGGGTTATCAATGGTGTTCTTCTTTCTTTGATATTTAAAAAAAAATGTCAAATGGGAAAAAAGGAACAAAAGGCATGAGGATCAGCGTCAAACCCGAAACAAAGACGAAAATATGAAAGCCAAAAAAAAATTAAAAATAAAAAGGGGGAAAGAGGAGAAAGAAAGATACATCAGCTCAGGCAAAGCAAATGGCCCTCTGCATGTCAGACAAGGGAAGCCCGTTTTGTTTTTTGTTTTTTTTTTTTCAAAAGCACAATATGTCCTTTCATGTAAAACCTCAAGAAATCAAGGAAATGGTCAAGTTGGTTACCCCGCCAACCAATCAATGGCAAATTTCTAAACCTAGATAGAAGGAAACCACAAACCCAAAAAAAAAAAAAAAAGTTCTGCAATTGAATACCTGGCTTATATAACCATTTTTTTTTCCCTTCAAAAACAATGTGAGACTTCAATGTAAAAAGGAATGAGAACGAGAAGAATACCAATCTTGATTGAAGTAACTCGGAGACCGCTAGCCTTAAGCAGAAGCCCAATACTGCTAGCCGTGACCCCTTTGCCGAGTCCACTGACAACACCACCTGTCACCAAGACGTACTTCATTCTTCCTTAGTTTTCACTTTAGTCCCCACAAAAGGCTGGTCCTTCACTACTTGTCCGAGCCAAAATGCAGAGAACAAGGAGAAACACAGATTTTACTTCAGTTATAAGATATAACAAAGAAAACACAACCTATACAGACAAAGCTACGTAGTACCACTACCAATGGGATATATTTATACCAAGACCCACTTCCCTTTCCCCCAATAAAGCTAAGAATGATGATCATAACAATTTAGAAAATGTAGAGTGATGGTTTCTGGTATGAAACGGAAGCGAGGATGTGGGGTAGAAGAAACAGATGCCAGTTACATAGACATCATGGCAAGAAAATGTAAATTACAAGACGAGAAACAATGGCAATTTGGAGTTGAACGGAGAGAATAATGAGAAACCTTGTTCACAATGACGGGCTTTACAAGGTTCTTCTCTTACTAGTTTTCTGCAATCCCTTCATATGTCTTTCTGCGGCTCTATCTCTGTGTGGGAAGGTCGCTCTTTTATAGCCCCTGGGCAAGGTGAAAAAAATTCCCCCTTGTAGACCTTGGAATGGCTAAGCCAACCCACGAGCAAAATAATATAGAAAATTTTGAAGAAGAAGATGCCTCTTCTTCCAAAATGCCACCCTTCTCTTTCTTCTTCTTGTTCCAGGCGGCGCTGAGCTAGGAAGCTATTCTCACCTTTCAGCTCTTAAATAAGCAAAAACCCACAACACACGCGCACACAACTCTACTTTTTTTTTTCTCAATACTCGTTTTTCTTTCTTTAATAATTAATACCCAATAAACCGTTCAATGGGAGTTTTAGATTAAGCGTGATAGTCCCTATAAACCCCCATCGCATAAAGTCCCGGTCCTGGCAGAATATTTAGTATCAGATTTTATATATATACACACATATAAAAATTTATCTTCTGATAATATATAATCAATTGTTCAATCCCTTTACGAGTTTTGTATCAGATTCTCGCTCACTTTCTGATGGAGGGAACAATCTTTTTGCTTTAATTGGTTGCTTCCATAATAGTTTTTCAACAAAGAAGATTAAGAAAAAGAAAAGTAAATTAAAAAGGTAACTTTTTTTTTTTTGTTTCAGAGTCAATCATTCACACGAGACAAGTGAGAATTTTCATGAAGAGTAAGCACACTTGGCAGCTACTTAGCCGTTGATAAGATGCATGAGACACGGTTTAACCACGCTCTCTCTTTCCCTTGCCATTGATCCACACGTTGCTGCTAGAAGTGGTCGACTCCATGCCGAAAATACTACGAAGCCATGTCTCATGACGGAAAAACAAATAAGTTGATTGGTTATTTATATAGTTCGTCAGAGCGAGATAATAGTGTTTGAGCCGGCAAAGAAGTCTTTAGTTTCAGGATTATATCTTCATAGCATTCTTAGAAAACGAACAAAGACTGAACCAACAAGTTAGATACTTTGTTATGTTGTCATTAATTAATGAGGTTAAAGTTTTTGGATTGGTTTTTCCAATTTGTTTAGGCAAAGATTACCTAAAATCTTGGCTTGCAGTTTTGCCTTACGCGGGCTTACATGCTGAGATTACGTTGATTTGGTGTGATATTTTATATTATCCTTTTCCTTGCATCTTTATTGAACCTTTTTTTAAATTTTCCTGTGTGTGTGTGTGTGTGTAGTACTGTGTTACTGTGAAGAACTGAAGATTGATTTGAGAGGGAATTCATTAGCCCAAAAAGAAAGTCAACAAAATGGTCCCGGCAACGAGGAAGGTTTAAAAAATGGAGGGAGTCATAAATAAATTTAAAAGCTTTTTTTTTTTTTGGGCATAAAGAGTATGCTCTATTATGGTTCGTAGAAAGATCATCTCTCTAGAGATTTTAAAGGTAAATGATAGACTTTTCTTAACTAAATTGTTTGATACACTGATACTGAGATTTAAACTCAACCACTTGTATAGGGTGATAGAAGTCCATATCTCTCGTATTGAATTTAGTTAGTAGATAGATTTAAAACTAACTTCCTCTAACCTTATTTATCAGACGGTGAGGGAGAGAAATTTTATCTTATTTAAAAATCACATCATTTATTCTCATTTTATCCTTAATTAATTAAATATTGGTGAAAGAAAATATGTTGTTATTATTATTGTATTCTCTCCATTCAAAAATATAAGATATTTTTTAATTAAATTTTATCCTCCAATAAAGTAGTTATCTATTTTCAAACTACTATTATCTTTTTATATTTACTTCTATTAAACACCCTATAATAAATATAAATTCATTGATCAATAAAGGTACTTTAAAAAAGAGGTAATAATTACACATTAAAAGATTAAAAATACCTTACATTTTTTAACATCTAACTTCTAAAAAAAATACTTTACATTTTTTAACAAATGAAGTATATGTTGTTCCAGTTGTTGTTATTTTTATACATACATATATAACAAGGACAAAGTTGCCAATTTGTTAAATTTTTAAATAAAATCAATGAATTTTAAGATTTGCTTTAATTCTAATAAAATATGTTAGAAATGACTTAAAAATAATGTCCCTTCATTTTATTTTTTATTATTATAGGAGAAACTACCACATACTTGTTGTAATTGTCAGGAATTTTAAAGCTTGAACTTTGAGGCCGAATTGACAACTAATTCTCTAAGTTGTTGGTATGTTTTCCCCTCCACATGCTTTTTTATCTATGCCTCAACGGATTGCAATTGCCATTCACAACGTTGCAATCGCGTTGTTGCTCTATTAAAGCAACGTTGATCAAAGATCCATCGATGGGTGGGAGGCAGGCCAAGTTCTATGGTTCTCAGGGCAAGCGATGGTGGGATTAGGTTGAGTTCTGCGACCTTAATGCTGCCCAACAGCAACGACTCAAGTAGGTTAAAATGTGAGGATATACGCAATCCCTCTCATTCTTCGTCCTTGTTCATACCTTTCTTCTTCATTTTAGAGTTTGGGAAAAAATATCCGCCTTTCAAAAGTTACTTGCCATGTGGCATTACAGCTATTCAGTTTTTGAGTAATTTTATAAAATCATTAGAAAAGAGCGACATTGCTCCATTTTAAATACTTACATAATAACATTACTCCTATTAAAAAGTAAAAGTATTGAGTGCTCTCTTTAAAAAACTTTCAGAGTTTATATATATATATATATAACCAAAACTACAAAAATTTAGAATCGTTTATTATATTTTTCTTAAATTGTCTTTCATAAAATGAAAATTTATTTTCACAAGATAAACTTATTCAGGTAATTACGAGAGTAATTTAATTTATTTTTTAATTTCAGGCACGATTATTATATTTAATTAAATTTAAAATTTGCTTATATTTGATTACCATGGAGTGTGTCTGGGTGTGTTAATATAAAAAATGAAAAAGATGGGAAATATACTAACGGGAGCAGGGCTAAGCGAGCAGGCGTGATGATGCTCGTTTGTTAGAGAAAATATGACGTAGGGAAAGAGACAATGCATGTGCAAGTGTCTCATTTTCTTGAGTTATCATGGCTCTGCTCTGCCTCGCATGTGACTTTGTATTCACCGAACACCCTACCGTTTTTCTGTTTCCATCCCAACTACATATATAGGAGCCGCGCCGAAAACAATTCTCCTACCAATTCAAAATAATAACATTTTTTTTCAATTAAACAATTTAATAGATATAATTTTTTTTTCATTTTATCCTTTATATTTATTAATGTTTGTATAAATATATTTTTCATTCATCATAGAATATATTAATAATTGAAACTAGAGATAAAAAAGATAATAATACATATTTTCGTAGGAATGAGGACTTTTTTTCTATACATTTTTTTAAAGTGCTTATATTTTATATCAAATGGAGAATACTGCTGCTTTTTATAAGGAATTACTAATAAAAAAAAACACACACACACTCACCCACCCACCCACCCCCACCTTAAAATTTAGTTAATTGGAAAGCATCACTTGGAAAATAACAGCCCCTTAAATGATACTCAAGTTCTTCAAGAGATTAATCTTACAACTACCAATTATGGAGATACCTTAAAAAATAAAAAAAACTAATGAACTTTAAAATTTTTAAAATTACAATCGAGGGTGATTTGTTTGATTAGTTAAGAAAGTTTAATTAGTTTATCTTAAAACATTCAGTTGTGTTAAATGGATATGTCATAAACATTAATTCCCAAGGTACCTATAAAATCATCGTTAATAGCAATCCCACATAGCAGGTTATTGTTATTTACTATTCATTTTGTTAGAGAACATATATCAACGCAAATGATGAATCCACAAAATCAATATTTTATTATCATAAAAAAACCAATATTTTAGATAAAAGGTAATAAGTATTGTTAAACAATGTCTTAATACTACTACAATAAATCTTATTTTACTAGCAAATGTTAGTACAATTAATAAAAAATTTAACTTATAACCTACAAGATCATGAGATTAAATCTCACTAATGATATAGAGATCTTGTTAACGGACAATGAATAAATATATGTCAAAGCGCTATTTGAGCCAAGATATATATTTGAATCTATATATTGTAAGGTGGTGTTGTGCTGTATAAAGTAAACTATCAACTCTTAGACACACACACACACATACACTCCTGTATATTAATCTAAGATGGACTGAATTATCAATAATTTATTTTTTAATAAATTAAATACTCTTTATTATAAGAACTAGTTAACGATTTTATATAAATTAAGAAAATTAGTTAAAAGTAATTAGATGCTAATACTTTTTATCATTTTTTTTAAAATTCACAAAAACTGAGATTGGTATTGTGCATAAAATTGAAGAATATATTTTTACCAAAAAAAATTGAAGAATAGATATTATAATTATTGATAATAAATAAATAATTGAAGGAAAGAAAATGAGCCAGGTCATCACAAAATCAATACATATCAAGCTTTTGAATGTGGAAATTAAATTCATTGTTTCTTTTAAGGGTTCCATTTGTCTAAAATGTCTTCATCCATGGCAGAGAGCAACTTTGACTTGTGAACAGGTGTTATGATTTGAGAAACGATCATGTCAAGTTAGGCCTTAAGATTATACTGAAAAGAATTTCACAATTGAAATAAATAATCAGTCTATATATATATATATATAATTAAAACCAAATGCATCGTTACGTTTTCTATTTTCCCTTATCACATTGCATTTATTTAAAAAATGTTGTTTCATAAGTGGGATAATTGGATAAATTAAAGTCTAGTCTAGTCTAGCTAGCTATAAAAAAAAGCCCAAAATGATATTTTCATTGATTTTATATAAAAATCTTTTAACAGACATTTAATAAAAGACGGCTTTATTATTTACCTTTACCTTTTAGTATGGTCCTTAAACTATAGTATATCAATAATTGTGTAAAAAGCCTATATAAAGTTGTGCAAATTAACACGAGTACGTACATTGATTAAATAACTACCTATCTATCAAAACGACTGGTCAATTAGATCTACACGGATTATTTTTCGTTAAAATCGCTATTAATTACATTAATTAAAATTAAATTAAATGAATTATTGTGTGTGATTTGCATGCTGAGATGTATTCGTTTTCTTTTCCTTTTTCAACGAATCATGCGCGATCATTATACCGAGAAATGGACAAGGAATCAAACTGAATTTTCAAACAATGAGGAATTAAAAGAAAATAAAAAT